TTATAGACTTTGCTGAGTCACAGGAATCTAACACTCAGTCTTTATAAATTATTGCTTGAACTGAAACGAAAACACGGATACTGGCCTCATCTTATGCTTCAGATATTGTGGCGTCTTTAAACAATATGAGCCAACCTCCATCAGGTTAAGGTACATGGAAACTTGTTCCTTCATCCGAGTTTGGGCGTAGGAAAGAAAAAGTGAAATAATCTCATAACAAATTTCAATCTGTTTTGTTATTAACCATGGTTTTATATGCGAATGCACAGCAAATACGAGTGTTATGTGGTGGTGGTAGTTATCGTGATCTAGAGGATGATCGACCACGGTATTAGGGATCATCCATAAAGGACATCCGCAAAGATGGGGGAGAGGGCTTTGTTCAAATGCAAACAACTGTGGACAAGGGGGAGGGGGAGAGTGTAAGGCACCTTGCGGATGTCAGCATTTTTTTTTATTATGATATTCTGTGTTGAACAGCTGCTTTAAGCCAACTGCGTGTATTCCAGTATTTTTTGGGGACGTCCTTTATGGGCGAACCCTACGTATAAATTATTTAAATTATTTGTTGATTTCAATTTGTACGATTTCTGTTTATTATTTTTTTTTCTTTGTTATGAGCTACACGTTGTGATGAGATAACTGAGCATTGTATTTTGAGAGCACCAGCTGTTACACTGCCAAACCACAGAGCAGCGTATAGTGCTAGATGGAGACGTCGGCAGCGGAGGTGGGGGTAAGCCACATGCGGTCAAAAGTAGAGGGAGTTGTAGGACAACATGCATTCTTTGCGGACGTCTTTTATGTACAAACCCTTATTGCTCGGATCGAGTGGATAATACCGATATGAAATTAATCGATGGAATAGCTAGAGATGTGAGCTGATGTATAGAATAGAAGAACAAGAGCCCCCGCTTAACAAAAATTAACAATTTAATCAATTTTATTTAACAAGAATATATTGTACAAGATACTTAAATATATACGACTATTAGAAAATAATTACCCAAACGATATACCAAAATGCAATTAGCAGTTTCATATATGGAGATATGACCAATTTCAAACCAAAATGGAGGGAGAGTCTTAAAAACTAAGTTGTCCAGTCTGCGTAACCTGATGACCATTCTGTGGAAACATTTTCCTTTTAAAATATATAAAGACAACCTCAATAGTTTGCTAGGTCATTCCTATTCGAATTGGAAGTCATATCCTTTCACGTTACATCCTATACAGGTTACATATTACACAGTAATTTAGACAGACACTAACTGCTAATACGGTTTTCAGGTCGCAGCCTGGAATTTCATAACACTTAAATTCTAGCTCCAATATGAATAGCCTATTACGTAATGCCGTGTAGGGTATTAATCACCGTCTGAACTAAGTAATGGCCAGCAGGTTCTCTAATGCTAATACCATCAATTCTTGGCTAAAACAATTCACATCTTAATTATACTAATTAATTAACGAAATTCACGTCATGTCTTAATTGCAATACTTACAAACTAACAATTCATTCGCATAGGATCCTTCCAACTTGTAATCTTTCGAATTTTGAGTAAATATTGAAGCTTAGAATTGAATATGTTCTACATTAAAATTTTATTTCAACCATGCCAGCATGATTTTATATGAAGGGTGACTTTGACCTTTACCCATGTCAGTTGTTACATTTCGTGGGTGAGGGAAAGGCCAGCATCTACGGCTAATTTAAATTGATCCGGACATCGCAACTCTAAAGTTTAAGATACCAACAATACCCGCTTAATAAGAACGCCACGTCGAATAATCATTTAACAAAGGAAGGCTGGTATGTGTCGTATTTTTCAGATTCTAGGCTGTCAAAATCAGACGGAAGAAATAATTATCTTAGGGACAAATTAGGAATTTCTGATTACGATACACCCTGGAAGTAATGTTGAATTAAAGGTAACGACTTTGGGTGAATTTTTTCAGTCCTAGAATTTCCTGCAAGACGAGCAAGACTCGAGTGACTACGAGGAAAAATTAAAGAGTAGTTCTTTCCTCTCAAAGACAAGTAGGAGGACCAGGTGGCTGATATGTAGGCAAAGGCAGGTCTTTAGTGTAAGGACGCACATTTTCTTGAAAAGAAGAGCATTAAGGTACGCAACTGTAATTTTTCATGTAGTTTTCTATTTATTGTTTTGTTTTATGCGAACGTGTTTGATATGCCTAATATCCATAGTATGCATCGTTTATTCGATTTCATTGAAATCTGTTGATATGCTAGCGGTGTTTATGCAATTTATTTCTTTAATTGTATAGTTACGTATTCATTGATAGAATTGACTGACTTCATGCTAACCACATTTTCAGATGTGTAGAATTTGATAGGTTATGTGAATTAATTTCCTTTGTCTGTTAGGACAATATTGATTATCGTGAGTTAACGATAACTGCATATTTATATGATTTATTTTTAATGCTTAAAGAATCTTGTAGGTTAGAGATTGCTGTGAGCTTGAAGTTAGTGAATCTTATGCAATAGCAATCGAGCATGTATCTTATTGGGTGGAACTGACTAAGCTGGTGGTCAAAGGAGTCGTGTGGCAGCGTAGGCAGAGAGAAACGGGAATGTTTGTTGATATACACCGTTCGTGTTTTTTTTTATAGTCAGTCGCTATAAAGCGAGGTTGATGATATATCGAATTAGGTCAAGCTAAGACGTACATTACAGGGGTCGTTTGTAACTTGAGATAACAATTGTGCCTTACTCAAAATACAGTCTAAATTTGTAAGGACCCTTAACCGTTAAGGTCACCTTGTGTCAGAATTGATGCTGTGTTTGGATGGCTAGGTTATGCTTTCTGAGTAACGAAAGTGAGTGAATTTTATATACGTGTAGAATTATGTTGAAAATAGAGACTGAGTGGTAATCTTGTCATTCAAGGAAACAGCCCTCTGAAACAATCTGGGAGAGTCCGAAAGCCGTTAGTCCGGATAATATATAAAAAAAGTTAGGATAGAAGGATCAAGTAAGCTCAAACGTATACACGTTAATGTGGGAGGATACACGGAGACAAAGACAGGAAGCGACGCTAGGTGATTCATATCAGTCATAAACATTGTGCTCGTTTCACCACTCGTTATCATGATGAAATGAATAAATATTAGGACACTCCTATTGAAATTCTGTAAAGGGAGATTTCTTTGAATTGAAGCTGACACTATTAGTTTATGTTATTGATTAAATTGTTATAGTCTTGTCTAAAGGGGGCTCGTATTGTATTGTTTCTTCTCAATATATATGTTCAGTACTCTGTTGACATTTTATCTATCCACTCACACCGTTTAGTAATATCAAGGGAGATCATCCTCTAGATAACGATAGGCAAATCTAATTGACCAACCCTCTTTTGCGTAGAGGAACATAGTTACATATCCTAAGTATACTTCAAATTCATAGCCAAAATGATTCGTTTGACATATGAACAAATAAATTTGAACAATTTTCTCAAGATTCTTATCCTGCAAATACTATATGAAATTCTTAGAATAAATGAGTCATGTAACATTCAAGATAAAGAAATTCAAGCAATTATCTTTTAAACTCAAATCAAAGAAATATGTATGGAACTAAGATACGGTACATTGCTCTCTTTTCTAAATCATGTACTTTTTCTAGTAGCTTATTTTAAACAGATATGAAATTAGTCTTGTTTGCTCTCTTTTCTCCCTTTCAGAATCGTATCTCAAGACTTCCAATACACGTCCCTTGGACGTTTGTTTGATAAGAAAAATACTCGCTATTCTTCTTTGAGTCAGATCTTAGCTAGACTAATTTTGCGATGTAGAAAATTTGAAAAGACGAAATTTAGCCCGGGAACCCCACCCCTTATTTAGCGTAGCCAATTAGGATCTGATTTATCTAACCGTCGTTATTTAACACATGCCCATCGGGGTTAGGGTAATTCCTCATATTTCCGTTCTTGCTTAATAAACCAATTTCTGCACAGTTTCATCTTATTACGCCTATTCCAACAAGTATGAAAGTTGTTTCTGCATCATTTCAGCTCTTTCCATTTTTGATACTAGTTATACAATAACTTCGTCTTGACCGATTCGCCTGACCATTATGAAATTGACACTTATTCAAAATCAGTCATGTCCAAACAATGAACATTAAAGCAATGCATTCTAGCTCCGGCCCAAACCATAACACGTTGTATAACTCTGACCCTGCAGAGTTCACCCATTTATGTGCTGCCATCACATCTTACACAATTCACTCGGCTACCAAGGGTAGTGAGCAAATAGCAAACACTTGAAGCAAACTGAACCATCGGAGTGGTGACGTCATACAAGTGAACATAAAACGGAATAAATCATGTTTTTTTTTCTAGTAGCTTGTTTTAAACAGGTATGAAGTACGTTTTGTTTTACCAGTTATGTACATATTTTTTATTCAGCTAATTCTGAAATGACGTAACGGGTTTACTAAGAAAGCTAGCATACGATGAGCATAGATTCCCTTGCACAATAAGGTACAGATTTGCAATAGATTAAACCCATGTATAAATTAATGTTATTAGCAAATGTTTGCTTTTAGAAAATGAAATTTTCTTAATTCGTTAGGTGTTCTGATGTACGGATTAATAAACTGATGACAGCATAAGTTTATATGTCCTCCCATATTTTTTGTTAAAAGGTGCTGATAACAATCCTAAGATAAGCTAAATCAAAATTAGAGGTAATGCTACTCTGACACCATCCACCGATTTGACATGGTTGGTAGGAGATGTGATGTGATTATGATTTTTAACGCGGCTTTAACGCGTTTTCAGTCATATCGCTACGATCGATACATGCAGTGATCAGTTTATAGTGATGTCTAGCATCATGCCTCAGACATATGGTATGATGTCCCACCCAGTCACATCCTCCTGACACCAAGCCGACCAGTCCTAACACTAACTTGTTAATGCTGGGAGTCAAGCGAGGCAGCTGTTTAATACCACTTTTGTAAGTCTTTGGTATGACTCGACCGGGGATCGAACCCACAACCTCCCGTATCGGAGACGGACGCTCTAGCCACTAGGCCACCGGAGCGGTCGGTTTGTATTATTTAAATATGTAGATTGTGTAAAAGAAATTATAAACAAAGCTAAACCACATCTCATCGAACACGTCATATGCAGATGATATGGGTTTGGTCAGCAGTCACTGCCATACTTTAACTTGTTTAATCTCTTGCCTGCTGCTTTTGGTTTTGGATACCTTTTCTAATGCCATTTTGGCAACTTTTGGGATACCGTTTTGACATCGTTTTGGATACCTTTACCATTTTATCAACTTTTTCGGTACCTCTTTGGCAGTGCCAGATTTAGGACAAATGAGGCCCTGTGCTAATTAAGTTAGGAGGCCTCTTACTCAGGCCCTGTAGGAGGTAGGCCCAGTAGTCCTATAGAGGTAGTCAGGCATTATATACTTGGAAAACTTAGGAGTGGTTAAAATAGCCAGACACTTCTGAAAACTTCATCGTAAATTTTTTTTCCCCAAGAAGATACCCCCCCCAGCCCGCCCAACAAGGGACGTGTGCTTAAGCGCACCTAAGCACAATGGTAAATCTGGCACTGCTCTTTTGATACCATTTTGATACCTTTCTGATATGTTTTGGATAGCTTTTGACATTTTGGATACCTTTTGGTTACTGGCGCTGATATAGATCTATATAATAACAATTTGTATATGTATAAAGAGATTCCACCTTTATTCATCTCCGATAATTGTAGCCGAAAGATTGTTTGCACAGGTTATGGGTACAAAGGAATCTTGATTTGTGACAAGGCAGTGTGTATGTGTATATATATATATATATATATATATATATATATATATATATATATATATATATATATATATATATATATATATAGAGAGAGAGAGAGAGAGAGAGAGAGAGAGAGAGAGAGAGAGAGAGAGAGAGAGAGAGAGAGAGAGAGAACGGCTGTGTAACTCTTTAGAAAATTAGTGTTACGTTACCGAATTGACTCTCTGGCGGATTGGATCCACACTGTTGTGGGAGAGATATTCACGAACAAATATAGTGAACATATGAACTTCCACCGTAGAACTGTCAAGGGGATATATACAGTATGCACTTGGTTGTTGTTTCCCTAATAAATGCATTGTGATTATATTATCATGCCGAAGATGAGATTATTCTATTTATAAACTTCCGTTACCTAAATGTCAACGGTATAATAAGATCATAAACTGACGACTAAACAATCAACAGCGGTGTCTTCAAGAATTCCCTAGAATAACCCCACGCACTGCACATCGCATGATATGAACATTCTGCTGTACAGGGAAGGGGAGGTTACAAGTTGTTATGTATTGTTGTTATGTACTTTTGAGACAGAGACGTATGTAAGGTGAAGTTCTTTGCATTTGAAACGTGCGCAGCGGAGAGAATGTTGGCTTTGAGGTAATGTGGCTGACATTTCTTTGGATATTGTATTTGTGGAATCGTACGTGATCTAAGAATACTATCAAAATTACTGCTTCCTTGTGCTCAAAAAGTTAGCCTTAGCCTGAATTAGTCTAAAGTTCACTATGTTTAGCAGCTATTAAAACAGGGAAAACGAACTTCGCCAGACTATACAATACCAGTTCCTAAAAGTGCAATGAATGAATTACCAAATATATCAAATCTAAAACCAAGATATCGGATTTCCTTGTTTTTGCAATTCACCTTAGAAAAAATTCAGGAAGTGAAAGGAGCAAGTGGAGCTAACATGTATTTTTTTAGATGCACATCTGCCAATCTGTATACGCCATAACCCATACTACACCCATAAATCATAATAAATGAATTAAACTTATCAATCATACAACAAAATAAATGAATTAGAAGTTATTTTAATTTTATTACCTAAGATATACAATGTCCTTGTTTAAGTAGCCAGTATAACCAGTGAGGACACATGGAAAAATGCTTATTCTTTAAAATCCTGTGCAAAACGTGGACCTGTAGAGCGCCACCATTTAGAATTTTCTACTGTACTAAAGGACCAATCATTTACTTTCGGGGATGGTTAGGTATACAGCTGGTATTTTTTCCCAAAAAAGTTTTGTCCCTCAAGCAGCTTCCAAAAATAATTCTTTTATTCATAGACAAAAGAACCTATTATATCCATTAAATTAGTTGAAAAGCTCTCTCTCTCTCTCTCTCTCTCTCTCTCTCTCTCTCTCTCTCTCTCTCTCTCTCTCTCTCTCTCTCTCTCTCTCTCTCTCTCTCTCTTTGTTTATATATATATATATATATATATATATATATATATATATATATATATATATATATATATATATATATATATATATATATATATATATATATATATATATATATATATTGAAAATATTATATTCTGGTGGTATGTATATTTAATTTATATTGTATGTTTGACCTTTGTTCTTGATTGTATTTTGTCATGATTTAAGTTTCTATTTGTTCAAATCCTATATATTTTTAAGGAAATTAATCCAATAATTTTAAGAACGTGAAATCCCACACGAATTTATTTTTGGCTTGTGAACTATAAGATTTTTATTGAAAATAATAATAATGATTTGGCATTAAATAGTCAGGGGTCACTGCCGTTCATTGTTTTAGAGTGCCCGACGTGCGGCAAAATGAGCTTGTGCTCGAATCCTGCCATCGTATTGGCTCAGATTGTTACCATGGTATGTCACTGGGAAAGACAAGAACTTCAGTACTCTCGGTATGATGCAACCTTTAATGTATTACTTTGCTGAAAAACCACCAAATCAATTGAAACAGTTAAGTAGACATTGGAAGGAAAGCACTCAAGCTGACCTTAAATTTTAAATCGTCGAGTAGTCATAAATAGTCTTTTTTTTTTGCTAGGACTGTACAAAGTGTATTCGCTTGACATTTTGATAGATGTCGCAGGTAAATGTGTTACTTAACTTGCCTGATCCGTGTTAGCATAATGCGCCTGCAGATTAGGGTCTATATTGCTTGCTCTTCTGGTCACTCCTAACAAACTGCACAGATCCAGCTCTGCCTGAGCATTTTGCGACGCAGGTCTGGGTCTGTTCAGTTTGCAGTTAGATTCTTTATATAAGCGAGTCAAGACGGCTTGAAGTGCTCAACTTGTAAGTCTAGATGAGTTATCCCCCCTTTCTTATATCGTGTTAAGTGTCTCGGTATTTTAACAAAATTGCTTTCATATATCTTAAAACAATAATGCAAAAATATGCATGTGGACTAAGAAGTCGATTAATCATTGAAGACTTTGCTGTCTACACAATGTCAGCCAAGCAAATGCAGCTAATAGTCCATCAGTTTCGATTGATCTACAGTTTCTCTGACTCATCGAATTTTCCATTAGTGAGCTTGACAAAGTGTTTCCAGAGAAACATCATAAATTCACCAGAGACAGCACTCGGACTCATTTCTGTAAGTGAACATCTAAATACGTAAATATGTCTGTCTTTTTGTTCCAGGAGAAACGGAAACTGAGAAGATTGGAAATATGTACATGCATTAGTGTTTAACAGTACATTAATGGCTCTATATGTACTAATTAAAAGTAAGCAATACAAATGTAAAAATGAAGAATTGCTACCCCATCCACTGGATATATATATATATATATATATATATATATATATATATATATATATATATACAGAGAGAGAGAGAGAGAGAGAGAGAGAGAGAGAGAGAGAGAGAGAGAGAGAGAGAGAGAGAGAGAGAGAGAGAGAGAGAGAGAGAGAGAGTTTAATACAAACAATACTATCATACAGGTTAGAGAAATTAAATTCGTACTCTACGGAGTTTCGAACCCAGGTCCGCGAGTAAATGGCACTCATCGGCTTGCCTGCACGCACCAGCCTCTAATTTTTCCATTAACAAAATTAGTCCTCTATCTTACCTGATATCACAATTTAACATTATCTAAAAAAAAATCTTCAAAAAACCCAATTACCTAATGGCTAATTAAAAAGAGAAGAAGATCAGTGAAATTCCTTCTATGTTAATGAAATGGTGTTAACATAGACCCAACGGCCATTTTTAATGTACAAAGACATTTCTTATAAATTTCAGAAATGATGGCCCAAGACTAAATAGTTGAGTCCTATTTATATCATGGCTGGGAACAACTACAGTAAATTAGTAATGTGGGCCAAGATAATACATTTAAAATTTGTGAGTGCCTTACCCTTCGATAGGGTCCAGCTACACTACATTGTCATTACCATCTAGAAATTTTGGGCTGTGCATCACAGGGATGTTTTGCAATCATTTGAGGAGAAAGATTTGGTTCTACTGGAATGAAATTTTGTATTTAACTTGATCAACACTCACTCGTGAATGTAAAGGAAGATACTCATTCTGCTTTAAATTGTGAATGCTGAAATTAATTATTTACAAAACGGTATATGCCTGAAAATGTGGTCTTGTTTGAAGTTACGCCAATCTGATCAAAATCCGATCTCCACTGTCTTAAGTGAATGATAGAGGAGAACTGATTTTAATCAGTTCTTAGAAGTTACCCTGACGCATATTATAAGCACGAAGGGGACACGCGTATTGGTTTTCTTAATTTTATGTCAGGAGGGTTCCTCTGTGGACGAGTCAAGTTTTGTTATTAGCATTCTCTCTCTCTCTCTCTCTCTCTCTCTCTCTCTCTCTCTCTCTCTCTCTCTCTCTCTCTCTCTCTCTCTCTCTCTCTCTCTCTCTCGTGTGTGTGTAGTAGTAAATCAGGGCGATATACCGTCAAGGGGACTTCTATGTTAAATTTGGGGGTTGTACTCTTGCGTCAAGGGAATTAAACATAGGTGGGACTGTAGAACGACAAGGGACTGAGACTGTATAGCGACAAGGGAAAATGGGCAAGGAAGTGGGCCTGTATGGAATCAGTACACAATTAATAAAATCCGGTTCAGTACCCACGAATGTAGTCCCAGTCTATTTTTATGGTAAGGATTTAAAGGCAATTGTTTATTCTTTAAAATGTGAGCTTATGGTGTGGTTGTCTGTGTGTATTTCGGCGACAGTGCACATTGAGTAATAAGGTC